TATTTATTTTAAACTATATTTTAGCAAATAGTGTTTATTATTTTGCCTTTGATAAAATAATAAGATATATACTTCTTGAAACATATAGTAAATCTCTGTGATTCTTCCTAATGACCAAAAGTCATGCAAAGAAATGCTCACAATCACCAGTCACCTGAGAGATGCAGATCTAAGCCATGATGAGATATTACCTCAGACTGAAGAACATAGCCACGTTCAGAATAAACAGGAAAGAACAAATGGTGGAGAGGCTGCAGAGAGATTGTACACCCCATCTTGCTGGTGGAACAGTAAATACGTCCAACCATTGTGAACAGTGATATGATGCTAGCTCAAGCAACTGGGGACACAAAGTCCAAACCATCCAGAGAAGCCCCTGTTGGGTATATATCCTAAAGAAGTCAGAGGCATATCGGGGACAGATATTTGCACACCCACGTTCAGCGTAGCACTGTTCATAATAGTAAGGGATGGAAACAAGCTAAATGCCAATTAGTAACAGAAAGGATAAAGAAACTGGCATTTAGACACAATGGAATATTCTGCATTACTTAAAAAAAAAAAATGATGAAACCATGAAGCACTTTGTGATATGGTCGGACCCGAAGAACGTAATGTGGAGTGAAGTGAGTTATTCACAAAAGGTCAAATACGACACGAGGCCACTGTTCTAAGGGAAACATGTCCTCAATTTTGCAATAACAAAAGACAAAGACTTTCATACCAACGGGAACAGACTTTGGAGTTTGCTCAAGGGGGTAGGGCGGGGAAGGGAGAATGAAGCAATGAGCTGGACCTGGGTGGATGAGCTAGGTGTGATCCCAAGAAGGGACAGGAGAAATGAAAAACAGGGGAAAGCAGGGGTTGACTAATGGGGGGTTGACTGGTGGTTTAGACTGTGGATTGCAGGGTTGATGATATGAAATGTAAACTACCACCTACGCTACAATTAAAAACAAGCACAAAATTCCTGTTTTGGGTTTTTGTTTTTGTTTTTTTAAGTTTTGTGATGGTATGGTGCATCGTGTCTTTGGTATTAAAAGAATTACTAATAAAAATAAATACTTTTAAAATACAGTGATTCCGAATGTATTTACATACATAGTTTCATCAGCTATCCTATACCCTGGTAGAGGTGGTATTTTCAATATTTGGAAATGATGGTTTTTATTTCAACAAGAAAGAGCATGCCTTTTAAAAGCAGCAGGAGACGTGGGTTTTAATGGGAAGAAACAAATACCGGCAATAGGCAATGCCCTTTCACCTGCAGCATTTCTTACCGAGCTCAGTAACAGCAAATAACCTACTGGTATGTTACTGGTATATAGGTAAAAACAAACATTACTGTTTTGTTAAAATATCTATATAATGGTTAAATAATAATTAGATTAAAATAGAAATTCTGGATTTTGATAACAAAATCTTAAATTAATGAATATATGAAAATAAAATCTCAAAACATTAGAAAAAAGAAATCTTTTAAATTGGTTTTAAGTTTATAGGACAATCATCTATTTTTATTTACTAATGCCTACACATTTTGTTTCGCTTCATTCATTGCAATGTAACATTACTCATCTCACATACTCCCGGTGTTACCTGTTTCCATCCCTGTTTCTTTCCTAACATTCTGAACCTTGTCTTTGGGTAAAGGCTGCCTTTGGATCACACATGGCTGAGTTAGTCTAAGGCATGTGCACCTCACTAGTGCTATTGCTCTGCTGATAGACTGCTTGTTTGTCTGAACATTGAAATCAGCTCCAGATGGGGAAGGTGACTAAAGAGCATAGCCTCAGGAATTTCACAAAAAATTCATCCAAACATTCGGAAGGCTT